ATGGATTTGGAGGCACTGGTTAAAGGTCAGGGTTATATAGACATTGGATCTTTGTGGTATAGGAACCCTAAATTTAGCTTTACCCGTGGTCTAAGGCCATTAAACAATGATAGGGATGTACTGCAATTTGGACAAGATGTTGTAGGTCATGAAGTAATTGATGTTTATGTAGAGCATAAGGTGTCTGATCCACCTGAAATTGTGGATCCTAGTGAGTTGGATAAAGTAATTGAAGATGATGATGTAGAATTGATTGGTGTAGCAGAACCAAATATTGCTGTAGCTGAACATTGTGAAGTTGAACCTGAAACTGCTGAACATGAACCTGAACCAGAACCAAATATTGATGTTGTTGAAACTGCTGAACATGAACATGAACCTGAACCTACTGAACCCAATATTGCTGTTGCTGAACCTGTTGAACAAGAACCTGAAATTGTACCTGAACCTACTGAACCCAATATTGCTGAACCTACTGAACCTACTGAACCCAATATTGCTGAACCTGCTGAACCCAATATTGCTGAACCTGCTGAACCCAATATTGTTGAACCTACTGAACCCAATATTGCTGAAACTGAAGATGTTGTACCTGAACCTGAAATTTTTGAGCCAAATATTGCTGAACAAGGACCTCAAATAAATGCTGAGAGCCAACCCAATAATGATTTCAGTGAAGATAGTAACAATTGTGAGGATAGTGGAGAGTGTGATGAGATGGACTGGACGTCAGTGCTGCCTCCTGAGACCTTAGGTGAGGAACCTAGTGTAGTGAACCTGCAATCACAATCTGAAGATGAAGAGGATGAGGAACATTTATACACACCCCCTGGTACTGATGATGAAGAAGATCAAGAAAGGTTCCCAACATATAAAAGTGGGCAGGGATTACAGTTCAAGATAGGATTGATGTTTTCAAACAAGGAAACAATAAGAGATGCAATTAAAGAGTATGGAATGGAAAACCAAAAAAATGTCTATATCAGGAAGAATGATGCAAAGAGGATTATAGTTAAGTGTATGGATGGCTGCAAGTTTCACCTCAGGTTCAGTTTGAGGAATGGGCAACAGTATTGGCAAATTGTAAGTTATGAGAGTGACCATACTTGTTGCAGAACTGCAGACAACAGGAATGCTAAGACCCAATGGCTTGCTATAAGGTTTACACAACTTCTAAGGCACAGCCCATACATGAAACCAGCTGGTTTAGTCGCTGAAGCACTACAGAGATGGGGAATAAAGATATCAAGAGATCAAGCATATAGAGCTAAAAGGAGGGCATTGGACCTTATCCAAGGTGCTGGTTATGACCAGTTCAGGCACTTGAGAAGTTATGGAGAGGAGTTATTGAAGTCCAATCCAAAGAGTACAGTTATTATAAAATGCTCAGAAAACCATGGCAGTCCTGCATTTGAAAGAATATATATTTGTTTAGATGCTTGTAAGTCAGGATTTGCCAAGTATTGTAGACCAATAATTGGTTTGGATGCATTTTTTTTGAAGGGGGGTTATGGTGGCCAATTGATGTCTGCTATAGGCAGAGATGCAAACAATCAAATATATCCAATTGCTTATGCAGTGGTTGAGGCTGAGACCAAAGATTCGTGGGAATGGTTCTTGCATATACTACTAGAAGATTTAAGAGCAGTCAATGATAGATGTTATGGCTTTATTTCTGACCAACAGAAGGTAACATTTAATTCTTATCTGTGCTTTTATTTATGACTAATAGAATGTAACATTTAATTATGTGTGCTTTATGTTAGGGTTTGGTTCCTGCTATCCAAGGCTTAAGTTCCAATGTGGAACAGAGACTGTGTGTGAAACACCTTTATGGTAATTGGAAGAAAAAACATGGAGGTGTGGTACTAAAACAAGCCATGTGGGAAGCAGCCAGAGCAACTTCAATTCCAATATGGGAAAGAGCAATGCAGAAATTGAAGCTTTTAGATGGTGGAGCATGGAAGGACTTGAATGACATTCCAGCAATGTTCTGGACAAGATCACATTTCAAGACATATGCCAAATGTGATATTCAAGTGAATAACATGTGTGAGGCCTTTAACAGGGCAATTTTGGAGCATCGAGACAAGCCAATCATAACCTTATTGGAAGGAATCAAACATTATATCACTAAAAGGATAACTAAACAAAAGGGATTATTGCAGGGATATGAAGGAGTAATCTGTCCTAGAATCCAATTGCTAATTGAGAAGCACAAAAGGGAAGCACAAGACTGGACCCCAACTTGGCATGGTGATGATGATCTCTCAATCTTTGGAGTTACCAATGGAACTGAGACATATTGTGTAAATCTGAAGAATGAATCATGCAGCTGCAGAAAATGGGAGTTGTCTGGAATCCCATGTTGTCATGTTATCTCCTGCATTTGGAACATAAGAAAAAAACCAGAAGCATATGTCTCTCCATATTATAGGTTTGTGAGTCACATATTATGTAACATATTTCTATGTCCTGTTTATGATATGTTCTATTAACTCTTGCATGTGTAACATCATTTCTGTTTTGCAGCAAAGTTACATTTGAGAAATGCTATGCTAATATTGTCATGCCAACCAATGGACCACAATTATGGACTGATGTTGATCATGTGCCTATGTGTCCTCCTGTCATGAGAAGAGCAATTGGACGTCCAAAAAAGATGAGAATTAAAACAGGTGATGAGCCAAAGAACCCCCATGTGCTTTCAAGAAGCTTTTCAACTGTCACTTGCAATAAATGTGGACAAACTGGACACAACAGTAGGACTTGTAAGGGCAAGAGGGCAGCTGATAGGCAGATACCAAAAGGAGGCAATAAGAAGACCAAGCAAACAAAGACAACCAAGAAGGCAAAGAAGACTAACAAGACTAAGAAGACTAAAGATGCAGAAAAACAGATTGAGATTGGTCAGGGATCTCAAGCACCTCAGCCTAGTCAAGAGTAGAAGTAATTAGGAATGATGTTGCTTTTTTTTGGAATGAAACTTGATGTATTAGTGGAAATCTTTAGTATGGTTATAATGGATATCTTTAGTATGGTTATATTTTGTAATGAATATTTTGTAATGGATATGTTGTAATGGATATGTATCTTGTAATGGATATGTTTTGGTACAATCATGAATTTGGTACACACTCTGCTACAAACTGTCTTGGCTGCTCAAGTATGCAACAAACTGTGTTGAATAATTCTGCAAAATTCTGTGTTTAAAAAATTCTGTGTTGCCACAAACTGCTCAAAAAATTCTGTGTTACCACAAACTGCTCAAAAAATTCTGTGTTGCAAAAAATTTTGTATTGCAACAAAATTCTGTGTTTAATAATTCTGCATTTGGTATCTGCATCTGCGTTTGGAAAAAATTCAGTGTTGCAACAAAATTCTGTGTTGCAACAAAATTCTGTGTTTAATAATTCTGCATTTGGTATAATTCTGTGTTGCAACAAAATTCTGCATTTGGTATAATTCTGCATTTGGTATAATTCTGCAACAAAATTCGGTGTTTAATTAGTTATAATTCTGCATCTGCATTTAGGTATAATTTAGGTATAATAATTCTGCATCTGCATTTTGAAAAATTCTGCATTTTTTCTGTATTTAGGTAGACCATTTTTTCTGCATTTGTAATGGCCTACATAATGTTTCATTATTACACTGAGAAGTTATACTTAATGGTCTACATAATGAAACAAATTCAAGTGCAATTGCAATTTATAAACCTCAAACATCATCATTTCATTATAAACCATGAGTAGTTATACACCTCAAACATCATTACGAACTAAACAACATAGAAACTCCAACATTAATAAACCTACACACAACAATACAAATAAACCTCCAATACTAATAAACCTAGATCATTTCAACCAACACAAAGAACCTCCTACAGACAACAATGAACCTTCAATACTAATAAACCTACATCATTTCATTATTATTGTTGCAACAAATGCAACCAACACAAAGATGGTTATGAACCAATTAAACTTCAACTATTTCTTTAAAAATTTGATCTTCATCCTTGTTTCTTCTTCTTTTACCATTGACTCTTTAACCCTCTGCTTTTCTTCATTCAAGTTGTGGAGTAAGTTCCCAATCACTTCCTTTGCCCTAGGATTCATTTCCTCATCCAACCAAACAAAATTACTGCACTTCTTGAAACCTTGAACCTGCAACAATGGAGGTCACAAAATATTCAGTCTATACTCAATTCTGAGGAGCAAATTTTGTAATTGAAGAATATCATACCTTGTACATCCCACATCCGAAAAAGCGTCGTCCTGGGTTTGAATCGGTCCAAGCCGTCATCAACGGAGCATCGATACCACAGTGGCATTCATGTATAACAGAACGATTCCTGTAGCTCGGATTCGACACGGATTTTTGAGACATGTTGGATGCTTGCAGGAAGGAAGAGAAGGTAGATGGAATAGAAGGTAGATGGAGGTCGTACCAAGAAGGAAGGTTGTAGATGACCAGAAGCAAGGATGGAAGAGGAAATTAGATTAAGCAATTTGGGATTTTCAGAAAATATGAATTATGAAATTAAAAATTCATTTGGAAATTAATATCACTTATTTAAATGTTTAAAAAATATTATTCTAAATAAGAAATAAGAAAATAATACGTGGCATTACTCTCCCTGTGCCATGTCACTTTTTGGGCAGCCAGATGGAGGGGGCTTCAAAAATCCCAAATTTGAAAACTTTGGGGACTAGAAACCTGGCTTTTAAACTAGGGGGATCGAAACTCCAAAAACCTTAAACTAGGGGGGTCAAAACTGCATTTAAGCCTAAATAATATTAAAATTATTTACAAATTTGAGTTATAACTTTTAATAAACTATTTTCATACCTTTTTTAAATGCACTTAGAGTTTTTTCAATATGAAATAAAAAGAAATGCAAGAGAAAAAAAAAGATAGAGATTTCTATTTACATTTCATATGTCATTTTCAACTTCTTTTTCTTCATTTTTACACTTAACCAAATTAGATTGCTACTTATGACTACTCATGTCCAAAATCTTCTTCCTTCCTTCAACAATTTCAACAAACAAATCATCGACTTTTCCTATTACATTCTCAACACCACTTTTCAACAATCCAAAGCAACTTTTCAACTTCTCAACTTTTTCTTGAATCTCAAACACTTCTCCATAAACTACTACTCTCTCCCCCTCCACCTTCATTTCCTCCATGTAGCAAAATCCCTGGCTTCACATTACTCTCTCTATCTCCTTTCCAACTTTCTTCTGCAATGTTGCCATTGAAACCATAAAATTTTATCCAAAAACCAAGTTCTCTTCATTCTCTTTATGATCAAAGCATGATGAAGACAAACAATATGTAACACCATTTAATAGAATCATTAGTAGTAACGAACTAACTCTTTTCATCGCATAAAGAATGCCTCGAAAGCGTTGTATTCTGTTAGCTTCGATTCCCAAGTGATGCCATGGTTTATATATTGAGACAGTGATTGAATTCTTGTTTCCACCATGCTTTTGTTTTCCTCTTCCAACCCTAGGACCTCCCTTTGACCAATGTATATTGATCTAAAAATCTGCATATAGCATATATGAATTTTAGATTCCTGAAAAATATTCTCTCGCAATCACAGTGGCCGGTGATATTTGATATTATGGCGAATTACAATCAATCAATTCATAAGATACTATTACAATCGCAATTGAATTGCAGACATCAAAAACCTTGATGACGAGACTAAAATCACTATTGCAAAGTGTGAATGTATACCAACCCGATGTGAAACCTCTTGATTCAAATGATTAAATCCATCCAATGAAGCAACTATATTAGACCCACCTGAAGAATAGTTCTCAATTCCCAAAATGGAAGATTTGACTGCACGGCAAACATCCCAAAGCCTTGAACTCTCGTCGATATATTCATTGACAGAAGAATAGTTTGTGCATGAATTAGAAGACATGATGAAGTTGAAAGGTGTGGAAAATAAATGTTGCTGAGTAAGTGATTATGTTTGTTTTAGGCGTTTGAACGCGGCATTTACGACTCAATCAATGTCCCTTAGCTCACCAACCGAGTTCAAATGCAGTATTTAGGACTCAATCAATGTCCCTTAGCTCACCGGTCGAGCTAGCTGTTTAGGATGAATGGTTGGAACTTGTAAAGAAGAGTATAAGACATTCTGCTATATAACACAGTGTGACTCACAACAGCAAGGACCAACGTGTACAACAACATTGTGTCTCTCTTGTTCAAAATGAATTCCAATCCCTCATTCAATGGATCTTAATCGGTCAAATTCTTTGATTGATTAGGGGACTGCATTGCATTGATTCTTAATCATCGCCAAGAACTTGTGCAGTGAATCTTGTTGCCTCACAATCAAAGTAAATGCCACAGTGCACTTTTAGCACCCTACAGGTCCAAGTTCAAATAACTTCAAAAAAGCACATACAAGACTAAAGAGAACTGAAAATCGCAATTTTGATCACAAGAATACACATGCGTGCGATAACAGGAAGAGAGTAACCTAGTACCACATAGATAACAACATTATGATAGATGAGTTGTAACATAAGACAAGATAGGATTTGAAATATGATCCTCATAGACAAAATTGGGTTGTCCCCATTATAGAGAAGATGACAAAATTTCTTTGGTCTATATATGAACATAAACACTAGTAAGAAGAATAGTCCAATAGTTAGAGGTAGAGGAAGACCAAAAGAACCTATAGGTCAAATCAAACCATTGAAGTACATTTACAGGTAAGTAACAAATACATTAGTTCTGTTGTAATTTCAATCTAACAGTAAAATAGACCATTTATCATTTACAAAAATACCTTAACTTTTAGCAAAACTACAAGGTGATTTCACTATCAAGTTGAATCACGTCTCACAAACATGTGGTTCCCTGGACTCATTGACATATCTGAAATTGATGGAACTTCAATATCCCCTTCTAACATTTTCAAAGCATCCAAAATTGTGGGCCTTAAAGCAACCATTACATGACAACACAAAACTCCGACCGACAAAAATCTCTCAGTTATGCTTCTATTGGAATTTCCATCCATTAAGATAGAACCATCCAAAGCCTTAATCATGTTTCCGGATTTTATTAACGACCAAACCCAATCCGTGATCAAGAAATTAGGCTCTCCTGACGAAGACAGCTGAAGAGCTTTTCTTCCACACATTATCTCAAGAACAACAATGCCAAAGCTGTAGACATCACTTTTTTCAGTTAGCTGACCATAAAGTGCGTATTCAGGAGCAAGATATCCGCGAGTTCCAGCTACTCTTGTATTTAGTTGAGACCTATTTTGACTGTAGTCCTGTCTCGCCAGCCCGAAATCTGCAACCCTCGCCCTCATACCTGCATCAAGTAGTATATTTGTAGCTTTGATATCTCTATGATAAACAGGTGGTTTAACTCCAAAGTGCAGATAAACCAACGCGTTCGCCACATCCAAGATTATGTTTTTTCTTTGCGGCCAAGTTAGTAATCGCGTTGCATTTTCGCTATCCGTATCTGGAAAAAGATGATCTTTAAGATTACCATTTGGCATATAGTCATAAACAAGATACTTTCCAATGTACTCAGAATTCTCATCCTCACCAACCACACAACAGCCTCTAAGCGGCACCAAATTTCGGTGTTTCAAGCTACTAACAATCCCAACCTCTCTGTAAAACTCAACATCTCCTTGATAATCAGACTCTTCAATCCTTTTAACCGCAACAACTGTCCCATCCGGTAAAACCCCTTTATAAACCGAACCAAACCCGCCTCTTCCAACAAAATTTCCCGACGAAAAATTGTCAGTAACCTTCAAAAGATCCTTAAAATCAAACCAAATCAACCCGCTTTTAGGTCTAACTCTTAAGCTAAAACTCGGTTCCACCGAACCACCACTATGTGACAACAAATTATCATTCTTTTTCCTCTTCACCCACCAAGTATACCAAAAATACAACAACCCTAACAAAAAGGACCCAAACACAAAACAAGCTGAAACCAACCCAATTACAAGAACATGATGATGTTCCTTTTTAGAATCCCCTTTCGAATCAACCAACAGAATAAGAATACAAGCCAAAACACCATTACTCTGAGGACCAAACCTATTCACAATTCCAGCAATATAAAGTATTGTAAAGTAAAAACAATCTTGAGAATGTGAACTATTACCATCCATTCGAGTCAGCATCTGATGAACCATATCTCCTCGATCCTGACAAGCACTACAATGGTCAGGATCTGTTAAATCTGGTTTACAAACACTATCAAGTAGTGCTAGACTTGTTGAATCAACTTTGTTAAGCCAATCTTGCTCAGATTGAATATGAAAACATGTGTTTGGAGTAGAAACAAATTGAGATGGATCAAAACATGAAGAAACAAGGTTGTTAGGAAGTGAGATTGAAGTGAGGCTGGATTGGTAATCATGTAAGCATGATTCTGAGATAGAGGTGTTGGAGAAATGGAAAAGTGAGTGTCTATTGAGATTTTCAGCAAGTGCTATGCCAAAGAGAGATAAGAGAGTGTGACAACAAAGAGTTTCTTTTGTTTCTGTTTTGGTTTGTAAGGGTTTGAAGTTAAGACAAAGTGAAGAATTCCAAGGGACTTTTTGGACAAATTTCATGGACACTGGACATGTTGTTGAGTTTGATGAATCTATGAGTATGATGAGAAAGAGTAAGAGAAAAAACAAACTGGAATTCATAGATTTGGAATCTTAAAAAGCTGTTTTGTTTCTATTTTTGGATGTGGTTGATATGTAATGTGCTATGGTGGAGCAAGATTTGAGAAGGCATAAGAGAAAAAACATGAAAATTCTCTTGTCACAAATTTGTTTGGTGAGGGTTTATATTAATCATTTAATATTGGTGGTAAAAGCACCTACTACTTGTACATTTCTGGTAGAATTTATTTGTTTATTTATTGATACAAAGAATGGATTATTTATTCAACTAAAGTCTTAAAAAAGTCATATTTATAAAGTCTTAAAACGCCTACGGCAATTTTAAGTTTTTAACTACTACTATAATAATGATAATCTACTAGATATGTTTTGAAGTGTACTAAAAGTAAGGTTGAGTGTTTATTCTAATAAAAGAATGTATATTAAATTTCTAGAAGGTTGTTCTTTTTTTGTTTGATTGATTCTTTTAGTTGAATACTAATATGATTTAAGGAAAAGTATAATGGAATTTGTTTTCGGTCAAAATTTAAAAGATATTCTTGATTGAAAGTTTAAGAAAAACATTCAAAGTTAATTTCCGATAAAGAAAGAAGACGAATCTAAAAGTGTTGAAGTATCTTTTAAAATTTAAAAGATTTTAAATTTTAAGTGATGAAGAATTTTTTTTTTTTTTTTAAGATTATCAAAAATTAGAAAGTAATAAGAATGTTTAGTTTGAACGATTCTCGGATATCGAGTTGAGAGAGACACACCACTTCTCCACCTAAAATCTTAATGTGATAGGTGAATGGGTTCTCCCATTTATATATGTTTAAGTCTCCACATTCCTATCCAATGTGAGATTATTTTCCCACTTACTCACACTTGTTATATTATTCCAACAGTTAGAATATATATTAATTTAAAAATAGTCTAAATTAATATAAAATATATTATAAAATATTTATAATATATTATTCTAACAATTAATAGGTTTTGTTTTGAATTTTGTTATAGATAGCAATTATAATTATGCATCTCTTCTATTATTATTTACAGTTTGACAATTTTAGAGTTTATAGCTAAAAAGGGTAGAACAAAGGGTTTAGTGTCTTCTCAAAGAAAAACTTAGAAATACAAGAGTTTTGGAAAACCTTTGAAATCATTTAAGGGGAAACACTTGTTTACACCTTGAATTTGTGTGGTTACTGTATTGAGAGTTTGAGAGACTAGTAAACACTTGGGTAGAAAATAGGAATTTGATTTTGGACGTCTTCAGGTTTGTTCTTGAAAACTCTAAAGGCGAAAGCTATTTTCTTGTAACTCGTTTGTAATCTCTTGTAACAACTTTCTGACTATAGTGAATTGGAGAGTTGCTCTCTCTCCTAGAGTAAATATTTTGATCGAACTGGGTAAACAAACCTTTCTCCTTTTCTCGCCTTATTATGTTATATTTTCTACTTATTGATTATTATTGTTGAAGGACATTTATTTTGATTGTTATTGTTCTTTGCCTCACATGTCAAAATGTTGACTGGAATTGAATCTTGTCATTATCACAACGAGTGGCACCCACCGTGGAATAAATGGATATTGTTTACAAGTGAGCATCATGGATAAATGGGAGATCGAGAAATTTTATGGAAACAACAACTTTGGATTGTCGAAAGTTAAGATGCATGCAATTTTAATTCAAGAGAAGTGTATCGATACTTTGAAGGGTGAAGCATTGATGTCTCCAGGGATTACACATGTACAAAAGACCGCGATAATGGAAAAGGCCAGGAATGCCATTATCTTGTGCTTCGAGGATAAAGTTCTAAGAGAAGTCACCAGGGAGCAAACTGCGGTTGCGATGTTAGAAAAACTTGAATTATTGTATATGACCATGTCTTTGCTTCACAGGTTGTGTCTAAAACAACAACTCTACTCATTTCGAATGGTGGAGAACAATCCATAGTGGAGCAACTAACAGAATTTTACAAGATTATTGATGATCTTGAGAATATTGAAGTGAAAATTAATGATGAAGATAAGTATCTACTCTTGTTGAGTTCATTACCCAGATCCTTTGAGAACTTTAAGGATGCCTTTCTTTATGGTAAGGAAGATACTATTACTTTGGATGAAGTCCTGACAGCGGGAAAATCCAAAGAATTTTCAAAGGCGGAAAATTTGAAGATTGAAGATAGTGGTGAAGGCTTAAGTGTGTCAAGAGAAGGAGGTGAGCATAGAGGGATGTCCAAATCAAAGAGGTTTGACAAATCAAAGGTAAAATATTTTAATTGTCAGAAAACTTTAAGAATGATTGTCATGAGAGAAAGTTCAATGATGATTCTGTTCAAGTTGTGGTTGTCTTAGATGAGGATGGTTATGAGGATGCTGATGCACTAGTGATAAACTGAAAATTGTTGGGTCATAGAACCAGGTTTCTCTTCTCACATGTGTTCAAGAATAGAATACTTTAAGACTTTGAATTTGGTGCAAGATGGAGTAGTTCGCCTTGGAGATAATAAGACTTGTAAGGTTAATGGTATTGGTATGGTCAGACATAAAATGTTTGATGATTGTGAGTTTCTTCTTCACAACATGAGGTATGTTCTAGAATTCAAGTGAAATTTGTTATCTATAAGTATGTTTGATGATCTAGGCTATTGCCCTAGAGTTGAACATGGAGTGTTGAAAATTTTGCATGATGAAGCGATTATTGCTAAAGGGTCTAAAATATGTGGTCTATATATTTAGAAGTTCAAATGTTGTTCATTCATCATTGTCTAATGGAGTGTTTGATGACAATAAATAATTATGGGATTTGAGGCAAAAACATTATGAATGCCTAAAGGCTACATAAGTATAATGAATTTTGTAGAAAACAAGGAAAAAAATGCATGTGACAGTTGAGTTGTTATTGAGTTTTTGAGGAAGGGCTGATGTTAATGCAATTTACTTGGTTGACAGAGAATTTTTTCAGAGGAAGAATAGTAAAAAGCAAGGGATAAAATTTTTAGAAACTATAATGGATAAAAATTAGTTTAGGGTGGAGTTTCCTACTATAGATACTAGTAGTAGTGAGAGAATGGTTACAGAGATCTCTAACTATCATCTGACTCGTGGTAAGGTATGAAGGGCGTTTATAGCATCTCAAAGGGATATTTATGCTAGTCTTGGGTGTTATGCTTTGAATGTGGATGAAGGATTGCAAAATACAAATGCACGAACCTTCAGGGATGCGTTCAAAGGTATGTGGAGTCGATGATGGTTGAAGAATCATATTTAGACACAAGTCGATGCAAGTGGTGAGGTCAAGATTCAAGGGTGTCTTGTATTTGATTAAGACTATTGATTAGAGTTTCAACATAGTAGAGAGCAGAAAGATGGTTGAGGGTTAAATTGACATCACCAGGATTTCAAGTCAAGGTGGAGATTGTTGGAGTATGCCTTAAAACTTTAAGTGATGAAGAGAAAGAAAACATGTTTCGAGATTGCCAACAATTAAAAAGCCAAAAAGCAACAAAAATATTCAGTTTGAGCCGTTCACGGATATTGAGTTTGACCGGTTCAGTTTGCGGATCCGTTTATTAATATTAGAATATTGAATATATATTAATTTAGAAATAGTCTAGATTAATATAAAATATATTATAAGATATTTATAATATTTTATTCTAAAAATTAATAAGTTTTGTTTTGGACTTTGTTATGAATATGTTGGGTTTTAACAATTATAAATATATATCTCTTTCATTATTTGCAGTGTGATAATTTGGAATTTATAGTAAAATGTAGAACAAATGGTTTAAGTTCTTTTCAAGGAAAACTTAGAAATGTATGAGTTAAAAGAAAACTTAAAAGCCATTATTTTGGTCTATTTTTTAAGTTTTCTTTTAACTCATACTTTTCAAAGGTTTCTCAAAAACTCATACATTTATAAAAAAAAAAGAATTAAAATAAAAAAAACTAAATAAATGGACCAAAGTTACAATTAAATATTTTAATTTTATTAAGTGGAGTGAATTCCACTTAATGATAAATCTACGGGATACAATCCACTCCCATAAATATGGGCATCAACCCCTAGAGCAAAGGAGTTCAATTTTCTTCATAAACACTAGATAAAATTATTGGCATTCGAGGTGACGTGGATGAAGTATGTAACTTATTTTCATATTTTCTAATTCAATTTCAACTTTCAACATCAGTTCTTGTTATTTGTCTTTCATCTACACTAGCTTAATGTTTTCCAGCAAAGCCTTTAATCTTTAATTAATTTACTAATGTTTAAGACTTAAAGAATAATTCTATTAATTTGAAAATCCACATAACGGTGAATCAAGTCATCAACAACATGGAATGGAAGCCGAAGGGGACCAGGAGGACGAGGATCATGGAAGCAGCAACAAATACAGTGTTAATAAGGAGGAAAACAACAACTTGAAAATCCTAGAAGACAAAATAGGGAAAACTGAACTGAGAAAACCCTGGGTGGAGGTGTTCAGCGGAAATCGGAACCCTGGTAATGGCAAGAAGATGGAATTTGTTGCCCCAAAGATTGTTAATGAAGAGATTGAGGTGCAAATTGATGAAACTGACATCATAACTGAGGTGAAGTTCTGGGACTCATCTCTTATAATGTATATCCTAGGAGGAGAACTGAGTATGAATGGAACTTTGTGAAGCTTCCAGATATGTATTACAATGAAGAGGGATATTTCATATTGCGGTTCCACTCGTATGCTGATCGAGACGTTGTGCTCATGAAAGGTCTATACACTATCAGGAATATGCCCATGTTCCTGAGAGAATGGAAGCCCAATTTCAACTTGAAAAATGACATGCTCAGAACCCTTCCAATCTGGGTAAAACTTCTGTAGCTACCCCTTTACCTTTGGGGTGAAAAGAGTTTGAACAAAATAGGGAGTGCCATAGGAAACCCTATTGTTACTGATGAATATACTGCCCAGAGATACAAAATTTCTTATGCGAGGATCTTAGTGGAAATAGATATCACTCAAGATTTTCCAAAGGAAATTACCATTCTTGAC